AGAAATAATGGTTGTGTTGGTAATGATTCAGTCAACACCAAGTAGTTTTTTCTGAGGTGAATTTCCTTTTGCTGCTGCTCCGTTTTCATAATAGGCATGCAATGCAAAAAAAGAGATTTGCTTAAAGAGTTATGCAGATTGTTAGTGAATTTTTGCCCATTGCTTTACACTAGTTTTAGTGCAGCGATAACACTGGATACACATATTTGTTAGCTGAACAGGAGCCAGTGCGATTTGCATATGTCTGAACTTATATTACTTCAAAGCGTGATTATCCTATGAACATATGATAAATATGTGTTAGTCAGAGAAGGTGGAAGGTCCCATGCTGTGGTATTTGCAGTTTTACTATCAGCACAAGCAAAATAAATTATGTTAAATCGAGTGTATGGGGAGTTCCAAGCAACAAATGTATCTACAGTCTGTATTCTTCCCAAAAATTAATGTCTAATAGAGATGGGAATCATATTTTTGCAGGACTGAATCGTACGTGATTATTGCAGGTAGCAACCAAGATGCACAAAATAATTTGAACTTGAAACTGCAGTGAAGTAATACATTAACAGTTGATTTACTGCAGGTTTTTTATTTAGTAGAGGTTATATTTTTTTTTCCTTTCCATCCTTTATCTAGTACATTCTAGTAGTAGAAAACCACTGCAATTAAGGTTGCTTATGTTTTCTCAAATGAATTCTTTCTGGGTGCAAATTTTCCATGCTTAGACACAGCTCAGTATGTGGATCCTTCCGCATCTAAATTGTTATCAGATCATTTCTGCTGTGTTGGGCTTCTGTGTGTTTGCTTAAAAAAAGAAAAAAAATGATCCGCCTCGTCTATATATCAGAATGATGCAGGCACATAATTCAGCAGTGGCCGAATGAATTTTGTTAATTTTTTTAGATTTCCATGAGATCTAAAGGACAAACCAGGTTGGTTCATAAGAAATTACTGTAGTAGTTTCTGCAGTTCTGAGGATTTGATTTTCATGCAGGTACAATAAAAATACATTAAAATCATATAACATTTTGCAAACATCACTGAGTTCCTATCGCTGCCTATGAAGCAGGAATATACGATAGTTCCTCTTTTAAATAAGAGAAAACTGAGGACCAGGAAGTATCTAATCTTGATTCTGACAGCGACTTGCTGTGCGATTTGTGGCTTTGTTTCCTGCATTGTAAATCAGGACTAGTTAACAACTTCCAAAAGTGTGTCTATGGATATTAATTAGCCCAGTATTCATCTCAAAGAATTTGCCATCTTCTTATTTATGCAAACATTATAATTTACGTTTTTGCAATTTACAAGTGCAGAATTGCAGAATTACAATTGGTCAGAAGCCTGATATAATGTATCTATTTTTTGCTGTGACTTTAACGCTGGGTGTGATGATGATGCCCAGTTTATTATATTGCTCCTTATTCAAGCTAATTTTGAATTGAACTCCTTGGGAGTTTTGCCAAAGTAAGGAATAGGGTTTAGGGATGGGAAAATTATGAAAAGTTGACTCTACTTTGTAATATCTTCAGCAATGTATAAAAGGCAGAAAGGGCCTTGAACTTCATGAATTAATCAGTGGTTAGAGGATGCATAGCCTCATAAGTCTGAGGATAGGAATTACATCTTCATTTTGCCTTAAAATTTTTATTTTGAAATAAACAAAACCCTGTTAAAGGACTTGACACAGTTCCTGAACTGCAGCTGTCTGACCAACCACATCTGGCCTTTGTTTTTCAACCAGAATCCCAAAATTCTCACGTTTCCAGCCAAAATTCTGAGGAACAGAATCTTGTCATTGATGGAGACAAATGAAGTTCCGCTTCTCGTCATACTAACTTTAATATAATATAACTACTTAGGCTCTGGCCGTGTTTGGTAAATTTAATTAGTGTTGAAAAGTGGCTTGTTTTACAAGATGATCATTTTTTAACCTAGGTAAATGACTTTCTTTATGACTAATAAATTAAACGAATTATATCTTTTTCATGCAGTGCTGTGGGGCTCATAAATACTGCAAGCAGTTAGCTGGTAGTTTCACTTGATTACCTTTTCCATTATTGTGTTTTATAATCCTTGTAGGAGTGGGAAATTCATTCAGTTTTCATAACATGAAAGAAAAATATTGAGGGGGGTTCATGTTTAATTAGTGAACTACATCCCTGTTTTCATTCTTGTCTCAAAAGCAGGAAAGTTCAGTGTTTTAACCAATGGTGTAGTCCTGAACGGGCAACTACTGGAATAATTCTGCCAGCATGACCTTGCACACGTCATGCTGTGCAGAGGACGCCATTTCGCTCTACCAAATGACGTCCTACATGTAGTGTGACCTTGCATGCGAGGTCATGCTGTATGAAGGATGCCATTTTGAGAACAAAATGGTGTCCTCCATGTGGCAAAAGTGCCAGTATGCCATTCCAGCATTATCTGGCCCTACTACAGCCCAGAAAAGAATGTCCATGGACTCTGTGTGGGTGGTCACACTGTAGGATATCTGGGGTCTAAGAAGAAAGCATAGAAACGGATCTAATTTAGTTCTGATTTTTGCAGAAGGGGTGGGAGGTCAATTATCTTACCAGAATAAAAAAAAAACAAACAAAACACAAAAAATGTAATCTAAAATAAATATTTTATCTTAAACGGCACCAGCAAATGCTGACATGCATTTCCTAGTGTGCCACGTTCTGTTGAACAAGTCAAGCAACTATAATAATGCAAGTTTAACAGGGTTTCTTCACTCAAACATCGAGACCTTTGTCCTGACAAATGTACAATAGATACTGTAATTATAGATGACCTTGACAGTAGGTCATGTAGAGGTCACAATATGTGTATTGCTGCGGATAGTTTGAAGAGACATGCTGAACAATTAGTGAAGTGAATAGAGGATATTCAGATATCCCTCTGAGGGACTGTACTTTTTAAACTGCTCAGAGACACTTTTGACCTTCTAGTTTATTACGGGTCAGGAAAAAGTCAATATTTCTTAGCCTGCCAAGGTGCAGGAATTTTAATGAGTTATTGAGTCAAATAGTTAATCCTCCAATAACAGATTCTTTTCCTTTCGAATTTACAGTGATAAACACAAAAACTTAACAAGGAGCAAGCAAAAATGGGTTTTGTTACATGTGGAAACTTTGACTTGCATTTTGTACAACTATTTTTAACCCCTTGGTGTTTGCAGTGGATCCAGAGGTCTTGCTTTTAATACTGTTGCATTTTCTATCAGCATGTAGCATTGGGAAATCATAAATGGGCAACAAGGGAGATTAATTAAAGCTTGCAGTAAAATGTTGGTTACCAAATTACCTTCATGTTTTAATTATTCTTTCTGCAACATCCCTTTGTAATTCTCAACTTTATGCTTATTACAATTAATGCAGCGCAGTGATCTTCTAATTTTCCAAAACTCATAATTGAGTGTAATGCTAGTTGTTACTCTTTGTACAGTGGCTTATTTCAAAATACCCTGTCCTCTATAAATTATAGTAATAATAGGTCTGTTGTAAGCCGTTCAGTGCAGAAATTTTAGGTGCAGTCTAGAATTAAATCTCCTAGGATTATAATAATATCAAACAATAGAAAATGCAAGTAATGTTCAGTTCATCATATTGTGCTAATACCTAAAAGACACTAGACATTATTTATTGTTATATTTACATAGGGCCGGATGCTGGTGGGAGGTGGGATAGCTCAGTGGTTTGAGCATTGGCCTGCTAAACCCAGGGTTGTGAGTTCAATCCTTGAGGGGCCACTTAGGGATCTGGGGCAAAATCAGTACTTGGTCCTGCTAGTGAAGGCAGGGGGCTGGACTCAATGACCTTTCAAGGTCCCTTCCAGTTCTAGGAGATCTCCATTAATTCACTCATAGTGGGAAGCACTTAACTCCATTAGTAATTCCATTGAATGGAGCAGAGTTAGGTCAACCTTGAGCACTTTTGAAAATGTCACCCATGTAGGAAGCTGATAGCCAACCTAGGTAAGGATATCAGTGTGTCTGGCCCATAGTACCTGGGGTGCTAAATGGAGGTTTGCATGGTTAGAGTCTGAGTGATTTGTTTATTATTATATTTATTATGATATAAAAATGAAATAAAAGCAATGGATTAACCAATAGTTAATAAATATCTGTTGTTTTGTTTTTGTAGAGTGAGTTATTTATTGATATCTATTTAATACATTTATAAGAGGTCCAGCAATAGGTATCTATCCTGCATATAACTAAGTAATGCAAAATACAAGAATGAAGTTAAAGAACTAACCAACCCCAATATACGGTAAAGCCAATGTGAACGAAAGCATCAGCCACAACATGAAGCTTGTACATTAACATGATTAATTCCACCCTATACAAAAATGATTAATCTTTGACCCCTGCTATGGGTCGGTCGGACACATTTTTTTCTTTCTTTGTTCAATTGTCACCAGCTCTGAGTCTTAATTGTGTCATTGCTAGCCACTGTGGGTTCTGCCAGTGTCAGATGAGAGGGCCAAGTGAGTGACACCTGAGTAGACTTCTTTGAATTCAAGAACCGTTAGTTTTACCAGAAAAAGAGATCCGCATCTAGTTTGGTCATTGATGCTTATACAGGTCAATAGATATTGCTTTTTCAGTGTTTAAGTTGGGAAGGAAGGAGATAATCCCAACAAAGTCTTAAAATACCACATCAGAACTGCAGAATGAACATAGTATAGGTATTTAGTCACTGAAGACCATGGTTCAGCAAAGCACATGCTTATCTTTAAGCACATTCTTATGCCCATCACTATTCAGCAAACCACTTAAGCATGCACTTTAATGCATTGCTGAATGGGGGCTGTAGAACTGCTAGCCTATGTATGAAGATACTCTCCATATCACAGTTGCAATATTGTCCATAGGATGCCCATGTATCCTTCGAATCCTTATATCCACTAAGCTTGCAATGTACATGCTAAAACAAAAGACCAATTAAATCCTGGTAAGCAAATATAGTTAATGTTTAAACTTTCTACTTTTTCAGTGCTTTATGGGCAAGATGGCCTACATGCATCATGTGAAAAAAAGTACTGTGGCCGGGGAAGTAAGTGTGTTGTTAACAAGGAGACTAATCAGCCTGAATGCAAATGCCTAGAAGACTGCAAGCCCAGTTATATGCCAGTATGTGGATCTGATGGCAAATTTTATGAAAATCACTGTGAACTCCACCGAGCCTCATGCTTGCAGAGGAAGAAAATCTACATTATTCACAGCAAAGACTGTTTCTTCAAAGGTAGGATATCATTTTATATATATATATATATATAGAGAGAGAGAGAGAGAGAGAGTTTCCATTGTCCATCTTACCTCAATCATGATAAATGACTGTGTGCTACATATTATTTCTAAGAGATACATTTTTGAAGGATGATTTATTCCAGCACAACACTTTATGAAGCTGTTAAATCCATGAGCATTGGAATGAAATACCAGAATGAAATCAGACTGGTAACTGGAAAATAATTAACATCATTGTATACATTGTATGCATTGTAGTCAGTAGGAACTTAATAATTTCCAATGTAATAACATTTTACTATGGAATTTGTTTTGTAAGGCTTTGAACAAGACAAACACCTTAAAAATAGTACACTTTGTTACATAAGGGTTGTTGTGGCAATAGTAAGTGCTCTGTGAATGGAACAGAAAGTCATAATTTTCTCATATAACTGAATGGGGAAACTTACAGTGTATTGGTCCCATGTTATTGGGGCTTTGGCAATGGATTGCACAGTAGGTGAGAATTAGAGGATTTGTGGATGTGCTAGGGATGTTTCAGCAACAATCAAGAAAGAATTGTATTGATGATATTTGGCTATACATCCAGTTAATTATTTTCTATACCATTTGGATCACTGGTGTTGTGCCAGCAATGAGAGGAAGAAATACTGAGATGAGAGGGATGGGGGGATATAGTTAGTGTATATATGAGAAATAATAGGCTAAAACTGTCATGACCAAGACTTGACAAGATGGGAGGAATAATTAGCAGGTCATTTTAACTCATAAATACACCTGCCCAATAGAAAATGAAGTATGTCCTAAGGCTAAGGCATCCTGGAGTGAGATGCTCCCACAGACAGAGCCACCCTAGAAGTTATAATGCACACACCACTATTCAGAAATGTTGTCTGTTCTGACAGTGGCAGAAGCGGTGATGCCAGTCTTGGAACAGCTGCATGGCTGAATAAATGTATGTCCCCTGCAGAAAAATCTGACACAGCCAAAATGCAGGTCGTGAACAATTCACGTAAGCAATTAAAATCTGGATTCTACCAGAATTAGTGGTAAGAGTTAAAGTTAACACAAATGGAACTCTCCTCCAGAGACCCCTCCCCCCCGCCACTTAGGATTGTCCTTCATCATCTCTGTGATTTCTATTTTTTCTTTCTTCCCAGTTCAATTAGAAGTGACCTTGGTATTGAGCAATGCAACAAGGAATCCACGCGGTGCTCCTGAAAAAAAGTGTTTTTCTTTTCTTTACACTCAGCCAGATTCATTGGCATTCCTTTAGATATCATTGAAGTTTTTGGAAACTGGTTAATTGACAGAGATCAGAGAACCTACCTCTTGATAATTACTGTGAAGAAACAGTTTCTGCAGGATAATTGCTGCAAATGTCTTTCAAATGGTCTATTACATCAAGCTGCGGGTATTCGGGACTTCTAAAAATCAGGACCAGTGTGTCTCAAGTTGGGCATCCAGAAGTTGAGGCACTTGGAACAAGTGGCCACTTCTGAAAATTTTGATTCATGTCTAATACAAGTTAACCTCTGAATTCATTTGGGCCAGTTCAAAAGCAAATTATGTGGACTAAGGACCTGATTCTATCTCACGCTAGTTTTATACCAGCATGACTCCATTGACTTGAAAGGTGTTACTTTCATTTACAACAGGGACAGTTCATAATGAGTACCTATAATACCTCACAATTTCAGCTCTACCTGGATTGTATAACTCTCATTAAGAATTATGGGATAGCATAAAAATTGGGGGAAATTGAATTGAGAGAAATCAGGAATTCTAATAAGATTTTGTAGGCAGACTCCAGTCCTAATGGTGTTGTACCTGCTTACAACAGCTCTGACTTTGGGTCTGTGTATCCAATCAGCTTTGCATTGCTCTAAAATAATCTTAATGGTGTAGTCTCTTCTGTGTTTATTTAAATTTGCTGTACACTCTCTCTTTTGGAAACTGTACTTCTCCACTCATTAACCTGTGAAATTTTCAAGACAGAAACATTGTGAGAACCAGAATGTAGGAAACAGAATTGCCTTTTCAGACAGAAAGCTACCTACCAACTAGGAAACTGTTGTCAGAGCACAACTATAAATGTCTCTTTTAGAATTTGCCTTCCATATCAGGGATTATATCTAGCCTCCCCAATATCATCATGAGCCATCCAAACAGCATTCCTTGTACAAGGAGAAAGAAAATTAAGTGGACCAAATTCTCTGCTTATGCAAATTGGCACAACTCCATTCATGTAAATGGATCTATAACAGTTTACACCAGCAAAGACTTAGAGTTGGTGTCAGCAACTAATCTGAGAAAAGAGGGAGAGGTTTAGAGGTATAACTCACACTGCTGCTTAAATATATCTGATTCATGAAGGTCAGATGGCATTAGAAAACCCTTTCTACAACTAGTCTTAGCCAAGTTCTCTCTTCTTTTGTTAATTCCTCTGTTACCTTCTATCTGATATGCCTGAAGTTTAGGGAGATTATTATATTGGTCATTGCAGCATGATTATCATAAGGATTAGAATGGGTTTAAAGTAAAGATTTAGCTGCTCTGTAATAACTCATACTGTAGATACAGATAACTGAACAATATGGGTATTTCTGTTTCATACATTAGACCTCCATCCTGCAATCAGTTCTGCATTGTTGGACCCATTTTGTCCATGTGGAGCCCCATTGAAGTGAATGAGACTTCACACAGGCACAAAGGATACCCCCACACAGATTCATTTATAGGATCAAGGGTTTGGATGATAAGCTGTCTGTCAGCTTTCTTTTACTCCCTGTTTCTACAACAGCTCTCACAATAAGGTCTGACCCTGATCAGCCTTTAAACACGACCATCATCAAATTATAAAGATGTTAAATGAGAGTCTAGTTGCGAACAGGAAATATAAATACTCAACTATTTTATTCATAACTACAGCCAATTCCTTCCAAACACATGTCCATTATAATGGGCCAGATCTTGAAGGGAGCTGTGCTCCATGATTTTTAAAGCATATTTTCTTAGGTAATGTACCACAAGGTCACAAATCAAGAGAGCTTGCACTAGCAGAAGCCATGTGATATAACGCAATGTACTGGGAGCAGTCACAGATTATTTCCAATCCAATGTGACATGCCGTACAGAGCACACACTACTGAACATAAAGTGTAGCTGAAAATTACATTTATCAAATGTAGCTCCGGGTACCAGAAGAGAGGTATGAGTGGGGTGTTCCAGATTTCCCAGTGGTAATTAGGTGGTCAAGTATGAGAATAATTCCTTTATCTTCAGATCACTAGACACTTGATATTCAGAAGTATTTGAATGTCTGCAGAACTATTCATCACCCCTTGTTTATTGATAAGTGTTTGTACATGATAATAGTGAAGGGTATTTTTGAAAAAAAGTTGGATTCAATGGCAGAAATATGTCTATTTTTGGCACTTCTATGACCCTCATTACCATAGTATCTGAATGCCTCATAATATTTAATGTCTTTGCCCTCACAATCCTTCTGTGAGTTAGGGAAGTGCTATTACTCCTGTTTTAGAGAAGGGAAACTGAGACACAGAGAGACTAAGTGACTTGCTGAGGTCACATAGGAATTCTGTGGCAGAGCAGGGAATTGTACCCTGCCCTAATCACTGGACCATCCTTCCATCTTTAATGAGGGAGAAATGGCTGCCACTCCCATCTTTCAAGTGTGATACATTGTCATTAGACGCTAATTAGCCTCAGAATCAGGGCTGGCTCCAGGCACCAGCTGAGCAAGCTGGTGCTTGGGGCGGCAGATTGTTCGAGGCGGCATTCTGCCCAAGCCTAGGGCGGCACGGCCGCTTTTTTTTTTGTTGTTGTTCCGCTCCGGCCACCCTGTAGGGGGCGGCGGCGCGGAGAACCAGAGCGCCCTGCAGGGCAGTCCTCTTCCTTCCCTCCCCGCCGACCGGAGCGGAGCCCTCACGGCAGGAGGCAGCGCAGCAGGAGGGGCCGCGTGGCAGCACCCCTGCTGTAGCCCTGGCCGCCCCCTTCTCTCT